TATAGCAAATATATTTGGTCCTAGGCAGAGAGGTACTAGGTGTTCTCCAAACACACTTCATTATGCATGCATATCTGATACATGCCATGTTTGGTGTTGATATGCAGAGAATCCTGCTCTTCTTTTTGGGGAAGAAATAGGTAACTTCTAATGTAAGGATAAAGAGAAGACAGTGTGCCGTGTTGTTTGCTTTGTGTGGTTTTGATTCCGGAAGTATGAAGTACCTGTAGAATCTAAATGTGAGGCAGAGAAACTCAGAGAACCTGGCAAGATATTAGTGGGTTTTGTGTCTTTTTGGTGACCTCATGCAGCCAGAATGGTATTTGTAGCACTTGCTGTGTCACAAAGTTCCTGTTAGCAGTGGAAAGCAGCTGATGTCATGCTGTGCCTTCCAGGAAAAGTGAATGGAAAAAATGGATGGAGATGTAAGTGAAGAATGTCTGAAAATATGTGCATGAAACTACAAGCAAGGGCTGAGTCTTTCCAATTCTTGGCAAAGCACAGGGGCAGCCTTGATCCTTGGAACTTCTTCCTTCCCAGCCCTTCATAAAGGTCTGGCAGTGAGTGATCCAGCCTTTGCAGCAGGGAGTGTTTCTGGGGCCTTGAGTAGAGAGGAGCAAGTGAAGCTGCCTTGGTACAGGTGTCCTTGAGCGTTAAACACAAAGGTTAGCAGTCAGGGTGGGGTATTTCGGGGTCCCCAAAAAAGTTACAGGCATGCTTTGTGCAGTAGAAGGCTACTGAAATCAGCAGGAAAGAAGTCTCTTGATCTACTTACGTAACTTTAGCTAAGAACGGACACTGCGGTGCCTTAGGCAGAGAGAAGTTCAGTTTAAGCGTAGTGCTGCATTTGAGAGTGATACTTAGAAAAATGTTCCATGATGCCCTGCAAATGTATTGATGTGTTTGGGGGTGATTTTGGCAGTGTTAGGCTGTTAATTAATGCAGAAGAACTCGCGTTTCTCCATTATTTACAGTGGTTTTTATACGTGACATGCTATATGAAGATATTGAAATGCTGTAAAAAAAGAAGAAAAAACCAAAGTTTATCAAATGAAGACAAATGTGAAACTTTCAGAGAGCCTGAGTGGAGGCTTAGGAAGAACTCCTTTGCAATGGAATGCTTAGATTTGTTCAAAAACTCAAATGAAATCAGAAATCAAAATATTCCCAAGTTAATGTTCCCACAGCAACGCCAGTGGTTTCCTGTGAAGAAGAAATAGTATGAAATGTTTCTGAGAGTTACAACTTCACGTGGCTAGTAGTAAAATTTCTTCAAGTTAATAAAAATTAAGTTAATAAAAAATTACCTGCTTTTGAAACTGATTTGAATCAGTTTTCATTCTTTAAAATGGAGTGTTGGCCTCAGTTCTTTACAAATGTAAGGTAAGAGTTTATTCACTCAGTTTTGCAAAGAGCTTGGCTGTGCCTGTTGCCAAACATACAATATAAATATGTTGCAAACGTGAGATTTCAAGCTTAGTCAACTTCTCGATCAGTTACATTCTGAACTTTAGGAGCTGGGACACATCAAAATTGTTTTCACTCTGAAGCTGGCAGTAAATGGTGAAAATGTATTCCCTCTTTGTAGTGGGTGCATTAGTGCAGAATGCTGATGGCTTTAGTTAGAAACTTACCATATATTTTTTCCCCCTCTGAATTCAAATCTATTTGATTCCATAAAACCAAAGAAAGGCTTACTTTACTGTGGAGCTATGCAGACTGTGTGTATAGACATTACACAGGGATGCTCTTCCCCAAGGTTTTTGCCTCTGGGTCTAATGATAGAGAATTGAAAGGTTTCATTTTTTTGGCTGAAATGGATAAGGCTGTTGAGATGCAGTATGGCTTCCAAAAGCAGGCCCGCACAGTGTTTTAGCTGAGAATTTTGCTTCTGTTCAGAATACCTCAGTCTTTTACCCAAATAAGCTGTTAAGCTACGGCTGATTAGTCTTCCCTTGGCATGTGTGGTACCATAAAGCAATTGGGAATTTTCCCGTCTCCTTTTTTGTTCTAAACTGCGCTGATTCCAAAATGAGCACCTCTCTTACTCTTTAATCTGTTCTTCCTATTATACCTGTTAATGGATAAACTCAGGTTCTGGTAGTTGAGCAAACTGTCGCAGGTGGTTCAGTTTGTGTGCTAACTAGCTGTGCAGACTGTCTGGTAACCTGCGTGCAGCTGAGTCCTCTGGCCTGAAAGACTGGAGAAAACAGTATCTGACAGCTCTGCCTGCAGAAATGAATAGGCACGGTGGTAGTAGCTGTTGCCTTGTGTGGCTCCAGGTGCTGAGAGGTGCAAGGGCGTCCAGGTTGCAGGAGAAGATGGCAGTTTCTCAGATTAGAAAGTATGGTTGTCTTGGTAAGTTTCTGGCAATGTAGGAGCCTCTAGTTCCTGACAGGTTTCTCATTGCTCTCTCTGTTGTCTTTTTGTCTTGTACGTGATGTTGGTTGGAAAGTGGTGTGCCTTCTGTGGGTTGTGATCTAAACTGCCGCATTAAAGCTTGATCTACTTTGTTCAGGCCTCTTTATTTGTAATCTCACTTATGCAGTCTGCTTGCTCCTTCACTCGCAGATGTGTCATTGCTCTCCTCCTTAATTTCTTCCCTGCAATAGATATTTTTATATTTCAAAATTTTTAATATTGGCTGTACTGATTGCGTATGCATCCATCATGAGTCCAGACTTAACATTGATTTACATGAGAGAACGTTGACACTATGATGTCTGTTTTACCTGTTTTCTTTTTAATTGTAAGCGGTAGGCTTGATGTCCATGGGTGTTAAATTCCAGGAAGGTGCAGTTGGAAATCAGAGCTAACTGGTCTAGGCGGGTGCTGACCGTGGCAGTAATTTCATCGATCGGAACCCATTAATTGATCCAGTAACCTCTTACAGATAGTCCTGGGTGCTGGGGAGACCAAAGCCTTGCCACTAAGTAACAAAGTGGTATCACAAGATTTATTGGGCTCATCTCCATCCTCCAGTACTTAGCGGCCAGAGCCATTTGTTTTCATTACCAGCTGCAGTTCTTTTTGTACTGTGTGGCATACTGGAAGTTACAGCTCTGCTCATCAGTGGGTATATTTTGTCTCTCTTGGGTGCGGCAGGGCCAAGCGTTAAAGCTTCATTTTCCTACCTGGGGGTGTCAGGTGGTGTCATGGTTCCTGCCAGCTGCCAGAAATTAGAAGTGACATTGGTGCTCAGATACAGCGTTTCAGTAAAGAAGGAGAACTGCAGGAAAAGCCTTAGTGAAAGATATGATGTCCCAGTTTACACCTCTTAGTTGTTTTTTTGTCCTCACGAAGAACCCGTGCTCAAGCAACTGTGAAAACAGCTGGCTATTGGCCTCTGGTGCTCAACTGGAGTGAATCTGCATGCAGGAGCATGCCAGCTTGTGTACCTTCATCTGAAGTGTACAAGTTCTGATTTCTTCTGAGAAGGAAAAAAGTTGTCAGATTCCTTGGCCTTTGGGCTATGTCTGTCTGGTGTGTGAACTTGAATCAAGTATTCAGTGTATTTATGTTGTGCATGCAATTATATGTGCCATATTGAAACAATTTTGATTTGAGAAACAGTTATGATTTAAGACCATTCTCCCAGGCTTTCTACAGGTGGTTGTCAGATTTGCTGCTCGCTTTCATGCAGCTTTTGTTGTGTTAGATTTTGTCTTTGATTCAGTGAGGTGTATTTCTTTTTTTTCTTAAAAGGATCCAAGAATTCTGGTTTCCTCTGGCTGTGTTAGCTGTACTTCATCTCCTTTGAAGTTTTTAAATTAATTCTCTAGTTTAACATAGTTATATGTGCTCAGGGAACGTTTTCTTTTTACCATTTAAAAAGTTGCTTACTGGTGTATTCAGAGGCATTTATGTGATCAACAAGCTGTATGTTTCAGATTTTACTGAAAGTTGATTATCACAGAAACGTAACTCAGCATTTATGACGTTTCAATTTGGATTAAATACTTTCTAAAGTGTGAGAGTAAGTGGAAGACAAAGTAACATTACTATTACCTGTTCTGAAGCCAGGGCTGTTAGCAGGAATCAGAGACCACGTTTGGGCCATAAACAGATACTATTTAATTAAACATCAAAAAAGCAAAGGAATGTGGGTGAGGTGGAATTAGGTGTAGTCAGGTAAAATATTAGCTAGGATCATGAGTAGAAGTTAGTGTCTGAAATGGTACGTTTGTTTCTTCTGAATTCATTATTCCAAATGTTATTCTGAAACAAAACAAAAATGTGTCACCAGTAGCCAGTTCTAGAAAATGTAAGGGAATCCATAATTTTGAAAATAGGCATTTTAGGTAACCAAGTTACATTTCTCAGGATTCCTAGATTGGTTTTTATTTTTCTTAATTAGTATTTATAAGAAAACTCAATTTGTTGTTTAAGCTTCTGTACTCATTTAGAGGGTATAATATTTTATTAATATTATTGAACAAGGATGTAAAATTTCCAAGAGGTCTCCCTGTGGAAAAGAGGGTGTGAGTACATGCGATAAATATCCAAGTATATGGAAGAGAATAAAGATCACTTATTCACACTTCTATTGTATTGTATTCTTCAGAATACAGAACAAAGGTTATGAAGAGGCCTGCAAAGCAAGGAAGATGTGCACACTCAAATAGCCTTTTAAAACTCTTCTTGTAGGTGAATCATGGTTTTGGTTGCTTGCCTGTAAACAGATAAAAGAACTTGTATTTTCTGTAAAGTATTTCAAGGCAGCCATAAGCTTATTATACAACCTAAGCAGAAGCATAGAAGAAGTTGAAAAATAAAATGAAATTTAAGTCTTGTATTTCAATGTATAGTAGCTTGTGTTGTGATCAATTATTGAGCAGTCTAAGGAGGATTGTTACCACCATGTGAAAACTTGCATTACTAGAAGTGGGCTTTAGTCTCAAAGGTCTCATACTTCCTGCAAGATGCGGTTCATGTTGTAATTATTGCTATTAGCTGATTCTAACTGGAGTACTCAATGTCTGTTTTTCTTTTCCTTTTAGAGTGAAGACTGGAAGTGCTAGAGAAGTGCATAGCTGCAGGTATGAACCAATTACAGTTTGTGGCCCACAGTTGCTTATTGGTGTTTCATTTCAAAGGTTCAGAGAGAAGTTGTCTTTACTTTCAGTGGTGAAAACAGCTACTCTCTACTCCAGCGAGCAGCATTCCCTCAACCTTCAGCTCTTTGGAGTTTGCTGCCCTTGTGCTGCTGAAGGGTGTTGGGAGTGTAAACAATTTAGGACTGCTAGTATCTAGCTAATAAGCTCCTTTAGCTTCATCTGTAACTTAATAGTCTTATAAATGTAAGTAACTATGAAGTAGGATTGCGTGTCGTGATAGTAATTTATTCGTTGGAATAAATCTCAAGTATTCTATAGAACATAAAACCTTAAAGATATTAGTGGAAAAACTCTGTACAGGCTGTGACATTCTGTTAATTGCAGCATAAAAGGAAAATATTTGTGTGGAAATGCTTGGAGCTAAATGTGAGGATTTTCTGATGCGGTTCTGCTGATGCCTGAAGTCCAGTAAGAGTGTAGTTTCATGAGCCAATTCCTCCTTCCTGCTTTATTTGATCTCCAGGTGTTTGTTTTTTGTTTTTGGGTTGTTTTTTTTTTTTTTTGTACATGGTTCTGGTGATAATTTGACTTTGCTAACCTGGTTAAAAGCTATTTCACAATCAAGTGGTTATTTCTCTGGTTTAGCAAATTGGATTGTGTGAAACTCTCATGGCTGCACAGCAGCAGCAAAAAAAATAGATCAGATGGTAACTGTGCAGCTTAAAGGCTTGTTGCTGCTATGTTAAGTAACACTTCCATGCTCAGATTGCAGTGGCTCTGCTCTTCTGATAATCACCTGTACTGTGGCAGAAATACTTTATGCTTTAGTCCATCGGCAAAGCAAGGAGGCTCTTTTGAGAAGGAAACAGTACACCCGCCATGGCACCTCCCAACTTCTATACAGAATGCTGGTGGTAGCTTTACCAAAGTTCTTGAGAGATGAAAAATATGTGCTTTTTTTTTCCAATTTCAATAAGAGTCAATCTTATTCCTGCCACAGTCTTGAATGTAAGGCTTTCTAAAGAAGAGCGTATCACATCGTTACCAGCTTCAGAGATAATTGAAATGATTTGCTGACAACGTGGATGCTTGTTAACAGATTTGACCAAGCTTGGAGATGAAATGTGATACAGAGATCCAGATTGCAGTAATTGTACCTTTTCAGGAGATTTGAGAAATAAAGCCATGTTATGATTTTACAAATTCTTGTGAATGCTGAAAGGACAAAATTGAGTTTGTCCCATTGTACAAAACTGCCGTATTGTTCTTTGCCTGGCTTTGAATTTTCCATAGTTTAATCAGGTTTCTCAGTTGCAAGAAGAATGGTGGTACTGGAAACTTCCTCACACTTTGTTTTCACCTCTTTGTAGCTAGAGGTTCAGCTGGGAGCCAGTGGCATTGATTCTGTCACCTTAGATACAAAGCAGCAAGAGGTGCTGCAGGAAAGCATGAGTGACTAGGAAGGATTCCTTCCTTCTGTGGTACTTCCTTAACTCGGAACTTAGAAGCTCGACTGGCTCTGTGGACAGAGAGAAATGCCCCCTTCCCAGCTTTGGTACACTGACTTTCTTGTCCTGTTGAAGACAGAGAAAGAGCCCGGAAGAACTGTGGAAAAAATGTCTGGACCAAACATTGCTGAAGAAAGTAGAACAAAATAAGATCTATGGTCAGTGGAAAATCATGCATGATATGGTGGCTTATAGATGATGCCAGTCCTGCTGGCTAGTCTAGTTGCAGTCCAGGAATTCCATAACTTTTGAGTGATTTTTAGAAACTGGTGATTGTTTGGAAGTACCTATTGGAAGGCATTGGTCTCCAGGCACTGCAGGTATTGCACAGCATACAGCTCCTTTGCTAAGAAACTAGCACTCTGTCGCTTACCCTTCCCTCTCCTTTGCTGCTCCTTTAGGACCATAAAGAACATATGGAAGAGGGGTTACTGTGTTTGTGTGTGAGACATTTCTACCTTACCAGACAGTCTAATCTGTGATTAGACCTCGTTCTTCAGACTTAAAGATTCTACCAATTACAAAATGCAGTTCCAGAATTGGTTTGGATTATGGAAATAACAAAACATTCACATTATTTAAATGAATTAGTCCTGTTTATGATTGCTGAAACCAAGTTATGGAAAGGAAAACCTCACTTGTGTGCAAGATATATAGTTTCTCATCCTTAAAAGAAACAACCCTGAATTCATTTGTCTTAATGTGATGGTAGAGAGGTGTCCAAATAAAAGAGGAGTAATTCTCCAACATCTAAGGTTACATAAAATTGTTTATATGCATCCCACTATAAAATACCTCTTACGATGACGTAAATAAATTGACAGTACAGAAATGGATTGGGGTAGAATTGTGATGGAATTCTGATTCTAGTCTGGTACAGTGTATGACACTGAGGAACAGTCAGCTTTGCTTTGAGATGAGGAATCAATGAGCCTTTGTTTCTTGCTTTTATGGTAATTGCTGTCTCCAAGTTTTTGAAATGGAGACTTTATTCTGAGACTTGAGTTTCTTCCTTCTATTCAGAAACTTGCATACCATGCTTTGTCAAGGCAAATTACAGTTATTCTTGTCAAGAATTAATGCTGTGTGAGTGCTGACACTTTCAGGAGTGAGGAACTTGTGCCTGCTGGATTGTTGCTTGTCAAATCCACATTCACTGTGCTGATGTTCCTCTGGGCAAACAAATTTTACGCTGTTTGAACCTTGTGAACAGTCAGCGTTCTTGTCCTGCTCCTCCCTTAGGATGGTCCTTTTTTAGTTTTCCTGAAGGTGAAAACAATTATCTGCTTGGCATCCCTGTACCACAAGCCAGAGGAAATCATGCCTTGTCATGGTGTGACAAGGAAAATAGAAAGGATTATTGCAGTGTGATAGGAAAGATTATTGCAGCGTTTCATATTTCAAAGGTGGATTGTACTCTTCTGGAACTGTCTGTGCTGTTTGTAAACTCTTGAGATAACATGCAAAGGAGCACTTGGATAAAAAGAAATTGGAGAGAAATAGTGCTTTATTCTTTTTATTTTTTTACTACAGTATAATTTTAACTGTTCCTGTTTTGTATCTGGTACTATCAGAAGAAATAATTTGAGATTAGATTTGCCTGGTTGTTCTGATTGCTGAAAGGACAGGGAAACTTGAGACTTGTTGCTTTGTTTAGTCCAAAAGGTCCCTTGACACCTAAAGAGGAAAGGGGGGAATCTTAAAGAATGTATCATTCTTTAAGAAGATTTTTAAGCAGATCTGACTACTATTCTAAGACCTATCAGAAAGCAGAGATTTAAAATGTATTTGGTAATACCAAGTTTGTTCCTTTGAGTTTAGGTCATGCATTCCTTTTCTGAAGTTTAAAAGACAGAACATGCAAACTGGTCAGTTTTTAATTTTCTTTGAATTCTTTATGCAAACTGGGGTGCACTGCTTGCAACAAACCTTAGCCAAAGGTATTTCTCATTACTGTAGTTCCCCTGTGGAGTGACAGAACAATCTTCTTGTCCTGGAATGGTACAGCTGGTTCTGCAGCCTCTCCTGGAAAATGTGGTTAGGTGGCTTGCCCACTCCAGTGCTCTGTGTGTCTTTTTGACTAAGTACAGAGCTGCACGTTCCTGTAATATAGGAAATGACAGCCAAGTTCAGGCCTCTTTGAAACCAGGTTCTTAGGTCTTGTTTGTACTCATAAATTAAAGCTGAAGATGATCTAAAATACCATGTTCTATAGAATTAATTGCTTGCAGGGTTGTTTCTTAGATAAAAGGCTGAAATACCTTACGGTAAACTCTTGGCTGTTAGTAGTGACCTTTTCTAACCTTAAAAATTAAAATCGTTCTTGTAAGCTCAGAAACAATGTTTGTGAGAGAGAGAAAGAGAAGAAAGGCAGTATAAATGCAGCTGTACCTCTGCTTTCAGGACAGGAGGGCTCGCAAACATTGATCTGAGGAAGGTTGGGCGTTGTTTACCATCCAGACTTCCTATGTGTGTCATGGTCTGAATTCAGTTAATAAAAAGCAAGAAGAACAAAAAATAACAAAACAACCAAATCCTCCTGCTGCCTTAAGTATTCCATCCTGCCTCCTTTTAAAAGCTCTGTCATTCCACAGGGCAAAGATGCACATCCTCACTTCTTGTACTCATTTCCTGCCTTGACTCCTGCTCTGTCGTATTGCTGCTTTTATTTCCTCTTTCTATTGTATTGACCAAGCCTTTTTTCCTACTTTCTCAAGATTTTTTTCCTGTCTGCGTTGCCAAAGTATCCACAGGTCTTTCAGATCTCTTTGGTATTTAATTTTCCATAGTTTGCCTCTGGCAAAGTATGAGCGTTGTTATGACCTAGCACGATAATGATAAGAACTCTAAATGCTTCCCAAACTGCTGGAATTGTTGCAGGTGTTTAAAATGAGGATAACAGGATTAAATCCTTCACTTTTTTTTTTTTTTTTTTTTTGAATGGCTGTATGCCTTCATAAACAGTAAGTCAATAACGAGAGGAAGAAACTTATGAACTTCTGCTTCAAAAACATTAGCCCTAGGATACGTGCATCAGTGCTGCTTCTTTGTATCAATTATTAATTGTAAAGTGTCTCGCAAGCAAGGATAAACATGCAGTGATTACTCCTTGTCTTTGCTTTGACAAAGTTAATTATTGTGGGGTGCCTGCATTTAGGCTTGCCATTATCTGTTCTACAAGTACAGCTGCTTTAATATGTTGTCATGCATTAATTGCTCCAGATTCATGATTTGGCCTTGGAGCCATTTGTTCATGTGTGTATGTGCCTCATGTCAGTTATCTTTCGTACTGTTCCTTCTCAGATCTTTGCTATCTCCTTTGCATCAAATGAGTTTTGCTGATTTTTTTTATTTATTTTTTTTTTTTCTAGTCAGTTTTTTTAACCCACTGCTACCACCACCAAGAAGTAGCTGATAAAGATGGTTTTGTTTCCCTCTCAGTTCCTTTGGTCTGAAAATAAAAAAGAAAAAAAA